GTGTTGGGTGTGTGTGTGCATCACTCATACAAATACATGTCTCTCATTCGCTCAATCTCGGGGGTTTAATTAACATTTTTATTTTCACATAAAGAAGAAATAGCATAGGAGCAGCCAGCTAGCTTTCTGAATCCAGTCACCAATAAAAAGCTTGAGTGTAACAGAAAGCAAACACAAAATAAACTAGAATGGCACACAGTAGAGTGCATACCCAACTGTCCCCTCTAAAACCACAATTAAATTCACTAAATCCAGATTTTTATTTAGATCTGCACAAACTTGCACTCACTCATAGCTATTGGTTGCCTAAATATGTTTTTATCCTGGATATCCATCAGTTATTCAGCTGGAAATTGGTGAAGGTTAAAGAAAGTGGGGTCTACTCCAAAATGTAATGGGTCCTTTCTTAGCCAATGTCCCATCCTTGCACCAAGTTTTGTGAAAATCTGTAATTCAGTCATTTTTGAGTAATCTTACTGACACCAAAAAAACAACAAAAGGATTGAAACATAAACTTTTGATTTTGTAGTTGCATGTGTCTGTACTGTATGACAAGAACATAATGTGATTCCTTATCACAAAAACTTCCCTCCTATATGAAATCTTTTTATTCTATATCTACATAAAGTTAATAAGACCAAAAACTGCTTTCATTGTAGATTGGTCTTGCAAACTGATTTTCTCAAGCTGTATTAGTGTAAAGTTGCATCAAATTGGGTTTTACTGTACAGTTTGTTTATTCAGATGTGCACAGAAATATATTTCTTTGATGTAGTACATGAACATGCACTTAACAACAAAGGTTGCACGAAGGATATGACTGACAGGACAGAATCACATCTCAGTGGCTGACTTTGCTCATGTTTCATTTAAGCACAAATAGCAAAGGTACGTTGTTGTACCTTGCCTTTAGTTTCTTCCCATTGAAGTAGAAGCATAGGAACAAGATTGAGAAACCATTTTGCACAGTGGACTTGTGTAATATCTTCCTATCACTTGAGGATATACACAAATAAAAAATGAAAGGAAAAGAGTTGCAAAAGAAGCACGTTGACATATTTGATGCATGACATCTTCTGATTCTGAAGGAATCCATCAATTATTGTCTGGTTGTTTGACTCTGATTTAACCATTACCATAATTTCTATAATACATTACGGACCGATCCTCATAGTCGTCCCTGCAGAAGTGTTTATTTCTTATGCATGACCAATATTTGAAAAGTTGGACTGACATGTGAAGACTGCGTGTCTTTATCTTCTGTAGAATCTTACTGCAAAAAAGAAGGGCTCTGATTTAACCTATGGTAACGTTTTAATAGTTTGTTCATTCAGCTATCTATCATTAACATCCTGTATGTTCTGTCACCTCTGTGTTTCAGGATAAGAAAGGGTCTGAAGAGAAAAGATGAATTTAATGCATCCTAAGAAAAAAGCTGCCCAGCATAAAACAGAATATGAATCTTCAAGATTTCAAGAGTCTCTTCAGTGCCCTGACTTCAGTTCAGCTTTCCCAGCAGAGACACAGGTTTCAGATAAAGTAATCAAAGCAAGATCTATATACCGCTCCTTGTACCTCAAAAAACAATTAAAAGTATATGTAGCATTTTCTTTTCTGCTTAGAGTCACAGCAATGGGGGATAAAAAGCCAGAGGTTGTGGGACCAGTCCGCTGTCTCAGAAATACCTACCTGCTGCTGGGTTATTATGTTTGTGTAATTTGCAGGGTAATTAAAGTTTAAAAGTCAGGGTCAGAGTAAATACAAACTGCTTCAACACTGTTTAAAGTCTCTCTTTGTCCTAATTATTTTACTAGTTAGACACCCCTGCACCCTGTTTCAGTGGGATTCATTATTCTGCAAAAAAGCAGGTCCTTCCCTTGCTCTATTATTCAAGACTCAGTCAGTCACAGACAGTCATTAAAGTTTCATAGGAAGCAATTTAGTGACTGACTTATTTGCAAAGTGAGGTGAGTGCTCATAGAGGTACTGTACCTTTGTTGTTCATGGTCGGTCTCTCTCTGCTTTTCATGACAACAGAGTGATTCTGAGACCCTGGTGGGGGACCGTTATCAAATGAGTCAGCACATCATGAAATCTAAAACATAGGTCATTTCTCTATTTGAAGAAGGTTTCAACAAGCAGTCAAATTATAGCTGTACGAACAAAATATTCAAGTTGGTGGAGTTAGAATAAGTGGGCATTCTCTCCATTGTAGAGAGATGACTATACATCTATACATATACTGTGAAACTCAATTATTGATCCATTGCAGCTCTGCATTTCTGGCATGAGTCAGTTACACCAAACATCCAAAAAGCTGAATGCAATGTGAAAGTGGGTCTTGTTCGACATCACAAATAAGAAGTGATGCGTAGACCACAGGGAATTTACAGGAACTCAGCATGGGATGAGAGCACAACAGCAACGTGTAGGGATTTTTAACATGGGATTACAACAGGATAAAGAAGGACCCCCTCCCCTATGAATCTGTGGCTATTCATTTCAATATATATTTTTAACAAAATGCAAATTACAATGACATGTTTAGGCTGATTAGAAATGAGACCAAGGGGATCAGACTCATGGGAGAAAGGCTAGAACTGTGCAGCATGCTCTTACAAATTAAAATCACTTTAAATCATAAATGTACAATAGATATGTGCATTTTTTATAAAACTATAATAAATGATTAATGCAACAGTCCAAACAGTGAAATGGGAACATGTATCTTATTTAGTTTAGTGCCAGCAACAATAGAGCGAGAGTCTTGTGAGTCTTGGTTAATCTGTATGTAAATGACTTTTTCAACAAGTATATTCCAAAAATTGAACTTAAATAGGAGAGATGGGTCTGCAATATTATCATCAGATTGTTAGATCAACACTGTGTGTTTTTTTTAACTCTTCCTGTAATTTGTATAATGTGGGAGCTTAATGGATGTTGATTATATACAGTTAAATAACAATATACTCAATAAATGCAGCTGCTCTTGTTTTGAGTTGAGTTGATTTCCAAGAGCAGCCTGAAGTGATTGCTAAATGGAAAACATAGCATTCTTGTCCTCTCAAAAGCTTTTAATAACCTGATATGTAATGTGTTGATGTAGTGTCAGTATTGTACATGAATACATATTGTATATGGTATTATTCAAACTGACAAAGCTCCAATTCACTTATGCGTACCTCTTACGCAACTGATCATTCTAATTCATCCTCAAATGCTTCTGAGGAAATAATACACTTTTTGTGCATTACACAAGTCTAATTTTTCACAATATATATGTATGTGTACTTACTGTATATCTAAAGCCTTAGAGATATGTTGCACCAACAGACTGCAAAGCTCTGTTGCATTAAACATGCCTCTGTGTTATGTGAAGACATTTTAGTTTTAGTGTAATTAATGTCTGCCTTCTTTGTCTAAGTTGTATATCTTTTAGTTTACTCTTGGGTACCTTAGACATCCACACTTGAATCTAACAAGTGAATGAAATTGGTGAAAGAATCAATCTCAGTTCCTTTTTGCAACGATTGGTTTGGAAATATCTTCAGACCGTTTGATAGAATATATGATGTACACTGAAGGGTATGCTTCATTCAAACCTGCGCACAGTGTACTTGGTAATGGCATTTGTCACTCTTCCAGTCACCTTGGTGTGTGTGTGGGACAAAGAGATAGGGAGAGCAGGTCCCTGCCCTGTCCTTCAACTCCCGTTAGCTGATTGATCTAACTGAAAATTAAATCAGTGCCTGGCATTAATGTGCTGAATGCATCAGTTTTATTTTGGTTTCCACCGATTTCTTTGTCACAAACTATCTGCAATTTGAGCTCAAATGTTCATTAACATCCATTACCAGTAATTACACCACTCATTAAGTACAGAAGCAGAGGGACCCATTAGAAGTGATGATTTTGACCCTGACTCAAAGTCCCATTATGAGCCCTTGAGTGCACCCTTTGTTTACACAAGTCAGTGTCAACGTGCAACACTGAGTAAAGAAAAACCTTTCTTAACTTTTCTTGCATGAATTAAAATATGACATTTAAAACCACATGAGAGGGATACAATACCTGCATGTGAAAAGTACCTGAAATCAATTTCTATTGTTTCTGCTTCATTGTCAAACTGTGTGCTAGTTGTTGATAACATGTAAATCAGAAAAAAACCACAAGTAGATTGAGAAATAAATGTTTTATTGGAAATGGCAAACATGTGGATCCCTCTACAGACAGCTGTAGAAGACAAGGTAAGCTGTTTTCTTGCTTATCTCTGTGCTTTTGGTAACACAAACTACGCTGACCTTTTCAGGCCCGCCTCCAGATCAAGAGTAAATTTAGTGGGGGACACAAATCGTTAGCAGACAGGAGATGACAATTGGTTATAATGCTGATACATACACATACAATGTTATAATATAGCCATTAAGACATTAAACTATATGGACAGAAGCAACTCCAAAATATAATAATAATATATATGATCATCAAGGAAAGAAATTATGGATCTCTTGAAAGGTACTATATAAATTCAAACTAGTAGTATTATTATTATTATTATTAATATAAAGTGCATTTACTTCAGCGATATTTAATTTTTGGGTACCAAGTCGTTTCCATTCAATGCCATGCCTTCTGCAGCATTATTTATTCATCAGCATGTCAGTACTGACAACTCTGAATATTCCAACAGTGTATTCAATCTACAGACCATTGACTATTAAAACATTTTTTTTATTTTTGACACAGTCATGCCTGGCTGTAATAAAACAGAGTTAATTACAGTCAGTAACATTTCTCAGCTCACTGTTACATTTTAATTTAGAGGATCTCAATCCTGCAATGAGCTGGACATGAATGTGAACACAGGCTAAATGAGAGCCTATGACTGGCAGTGTATCTTCACACATATGTAAATGCAGAGCCAACACTTCCCATCGCTGTGCTTGAATTGACATGCAGGCTCTGTACCTGGGGACAATGGAGTCTACTTTAGTGTGGGCTGTGGAGAGTCACTGGTTGGCCAGGAGAGGGCATCTCAAGTCCTGAAACGAGCTCCAGTGAGCTCAGTCGGATCCTCCACCGACATCATTCCTGTTGCTATACAACTGATTTATTCTTGATGCCACGGACAACGAGTCTAATCCACAGCAGACTGCGCCTTCTCCTCCCCCTGTCCACATCTGAATTTGGGAAACATCCAACTTGTCGGCTTTGGACCACAGTTTAATCCCTTTCAAAATTCTTCACTTGGTCGGTTTCCAGTCTCTCTTTTTTTTTGCTGCCACTAAACCTAGATTCAACAATTGGCGACACGGGTGTTTAAAATGTGGGCTTTTCTTTCCTCCGCCTTCCAAAAACACTCGCTAAACAATGCCATTTTCAGGAGGATACAAAGCTTGAGCGCGTGCGTCCGAGGGCTTTTTGTTCATGTGGCTGTCACTAAAATGCACGAAGCTAGGGTTGTTGTGCGGTAACGTGGGAAACTACAGGCAGAGGTTGATGCTCACCTTCTGGAGCCGCTCTCGTCTCCTCCGACAGGTGTGCGGCTGTGCGCAAAGCGGACCTGGCTGCGGCGTAAAGTGCGTATACTCTCTCCTCGGCTCACACAGGCGTCCAGGGTGCGTGTCCGGACCCATCCGGACCAACACACGCCGAGTGCATCTAACATGTGGACGCGGAACGCATGCAACAGAGAGCCCTAAGCATGAGGAGGAGCCGACACCGCGCAAATATGGGTATGTGGACAGTTCCCCTTCGTTTCTGCGCAAAGTCCTTAGTCGTTTGCCAATTATTATTCACTTAAGGCTAATTTCTGTGCCCTCCTGCGGCTTGTGAATGATGACTGCAGGCTGTGGGATCTGAAGGAGGCTTCCTGCTCAGTAACTGTTTGACTGATTATTCCTGATGCATGAGGTTATCAATCACCTTTCCCTTGTCTCCCAGGAACATGACTTTGACTGTGATAATGGATGTAAGTGTGTGTGTATGTGTGTGCAGATTTGCCATGAACACAGGCTGCAAACACCCCCTTTATCAAGTGCTTTAGATCACAGTGATAATATTTGGTTCCTTAATTCAATTTGATCTCATCCATTTCCCTCTTATTCGAGTCTGTGCACACTTGCTCTGTGTGCTCCATGTTTATGCTCTCAAATCTGCCACTTTCTGTGTCTGCAGGACTTCCCATGCTTTTCAGATGGCTTGTATTCACAGTGGTGGTGCCCACCTGGCTGCTCGCTGCTCCAAGCGGCATCCGTGAGCGTCCCTGCCCCCAGAGCTGTAGATGTGATGGGAAGATAATATACTGTGAATCCAATGCCTTCCGTGACGTGCCAAGCAATGTGTCTGTTGGCACACAGGGCCTGTCCCTGCGCTACAACAGCCTCATGAACCTCAGAGCTCACCAGTTTGCAGGGCTGAGTCAACTGGTTTGGCTCTACCTTGACCATAACTACATCAGTGCTGTGGACGGCCAGGCATTCCATGGGATACGCAGGCTCAAAGAACTGATTCTGAGCTCGAATAAGATCACACATCTAGAAAACAACACTTTCCACGACGTTCCCAATTTACGTAATCTTGACCTTTCTTACAATAAACTGCAGGTTCTCCAACCCAAGCAGTTTGTGGGTCTACGGAAGCTGCTGAGTTTACACTTGAGGTCAAATTCCTTAAAAACTGTCCCTATGCGAGTTTTCCTTGACTGTCGCAACCTGGAGTTTCTTGATATTGGCTACAACAGGCTACGGAGCCTCACACGTAATGCCTTTGCAGGGCTGCTTAAACTCATCGAGCTTCATTTGGAGCACAACCAGTTCTCAAAGATAAACTTTGCTCATTTCCCTCGCCTGACTAACCTGAGGGCGCTCTATTTACAATGGAACCGTATCAAGCTGCTAACCCAGGGCCTGCCATGGATGTGGACTTCCTTGCAAAAGCTGGATCTTTCAGGAAATGAACTCCAAGTGCTGGAGCCGAGTACATTTCAATGCCTCCCTAATCTTCAGACACTTAATCTGGACTCCAACAAACTCAGCAATGTGTCTCAGCAGACGGCAGAGACTTGGATCTCCCTCACCACCATCAGTCTGGCTGGTAATTTGTGGTACTGTAACCCCAACATATGTCCCCTGGTGGCCTGGCTCAAGGCCTTTAAGGGTAACAAGGAGACCACTTTGATATGTGCCGACCCCAAGGAGGCACAAGGGGAGAAAGTGACTGATGTGGTGGAGTCCTATAACATCTGTACAGCAACGCCGAGTCCCATCCCATCGACGAGATCGCCCCTCACTTCTGCGTTTCCAGCTGAGCTGCTGCCTCTTTCCACTCAGTCTGTGGTGGACAAGAAGCTGACCTGGAACAGGACAGCCTCCCCAGCTCCGTCCAAGGTCTCCCCTACTATCCCTCTGCCAGACACTGAGTACGTGTCCTTCCACAAGATCATAGCTGGTAGCGTGGCTCTCCTCTTATCTGTGGCCATTATTCTGCTGGTAATCTATGTCTCATGGAAGCGCTATCCCAGCAGTATCAAGCAGCTTCAGCAGCGCTCAACGGTTAAAAAGCGCCAGAAAAAGGCTCGGGAGACCGAGCGCTCCCTTAATTCCCCCCTGCAAGAATACTATGTGGACTACAAACCCTCACACTCAGAGACTATGGATGTGCTGGTTAATGGGACAGGACCTTACACATACACCATCTCAGGCTCCAGGGAATGCGAGGTATGACCGTTGCCCTCCAAAAATCAATTTCCACTGCGAGGCATGAGAGGTAAATTTTCCAACGATCTGTGGAGAAAAGTACTTTTTTTTTAACTTTTCCTACTCTGCATTTGTCTGTTTTTTGGGATTAGGAGGTAAAGGTCAGTGCATGGTGACTTGCTTCACAATATGCTGGGTTTGTTCAGTTCCATGTGATTACCCAGCTGTTGTTCTGAATCATGCAGTTTTATTGCTAAAATATGAATCCCATTAGCCGAAACTGCAGTGGCAGCTCCTCTCCCTGCATAACTTACATACAGTAAGATGCATTATACACAAAGTAGGTTCATTTGTCATTCCTGACACGAAAAGAGCTCATTGATGAATCTATGTATTATCAGCCAGCCTGATATTTATTCACAAATGGCTTGCTGTCCTGCACAGAATGATCAAAATGTATTGGATCAAGTCACCGTGCAGGTGGTCCTCTCCTATCCTGTGTGTTTGCTACAGCAGCTGTAAGAGCAAACGCACAAGTCATGTGAGTTTTAATATTTGTTTTGTACCGTGTTAAATATGTGAATATTTACAATTGTACCAGCCGATCATATACCACATTCTCCTTTTTCTGCCTCCAGCAATCATATACTTAAGCTTTTAGTCATTATTTTCATTTGCAAAGTTCAAACAGTCACCGCAGGCTGGAGAACACTCTGAAGGCCCGAAGCCAAATACAAGATAAATAATGCATTTGGGCTTGATTTCCATCTGGATTTTCTGTGCTACTGCAGCAACAAACTACTTTTGTTTGGAAAGTAGAAGAGAAGGAAACTATTCAGTTACACAAGTGAAACTTTAAATTGAAATTTCACTCTAACACCAGACTCCACATGACTGACTCTGAGCCACTGTACGTCAGGAGGGATTGAGACACAAAGCCTTGACAGAAAGACTAATCAATTTGCTCATGCTTAATTAGGCTTTTTTTTTTTTTTGCCTGTGTACTCTTTCCTTTAAAAAAAATCTAATTCCATGCATCTGTCTTCCATTGTCCGGCTGCTTTTTTTTTTTCATTTGGCAGTATGGTTAAGTGTGATTAACAGGACATGTTGCGCTGGGAAAGATGTAGTGTCACTGGAATCGTAGCTGCACCTTTTGTCAGGCTAACCAGACACGCTGTGGAGTGCAGGAGACATCTTTCTTCTCCATTGTATCTGTCAGCGCAGCTCAGAGACAAAGTTTTATCTCACACTGCCATACAGCTCATTTCCTATATTCCACGTGGACTCTATAAATCATTTTAGAATATGTTCTACGTCAGGGGGCCGAGCTGAAGCACCACTTACATTCTTGTTGTGTCCTTCCCCCTGGAGTCACTGGAGAGTCTTGCACAAATACTGTATGTTCCATTGTTTTCAGTCATGTCACATGCCGCCAGCTACACAGGTAACTAAATCAGCTGTTTGTCAGATTATCTGTGGCAGGGCGTTTCTCAAACAAGCTTGAGGTGAGATGGCCAGCTTATCAATCTTGAAACTACCATGAGAGAATGTGGCGTGGGAGCATTAAATGGCAGACCTAATGGGGCTTCCACTAGCTAGAATAACTAATAGCCCATCAGAGGTAAGGATCCGAGACTTCCTCTGCTTTGTTATTCCTTGCCCTCTGCAGCTCAAGGGAGCCGCCTGAGTTGTTAAAAATGTAATGGGATTTTTTTTTGTTACATTTTGTGCCAGACACCGCAATGCAAAGAACAAATACACAGTAAAACCACTATCAGGTTTTTATGCATGTTTAGGTTTAGAGTGATGCATTTGTACTTTCAAACTGTTTCATATTACGACACTATTTGATCCGATACAGTGTCGTGTTTATAAGTTGTGCGACTGGCCACAGAATTAGGTTGCAGGAGAGGGAAACTCCATGATGTGCACTGATGGTGTCGAGTGTTATTTGCATCACGATAAAGGACAGTAAAGCACAATGTCTTCTGATATATGAGAGGAGTTTTAGTTTTTATTGAATGGTAAGCAGCAGAGAGACTCGAGAAAGATGAAAGTGAGAGAGATGGAGTGTATGAAAAAAGCTGCTCCGTGGTTCAAACCCCACAGTCAGAGGCACATTGTCAATTCCTAAACTCGGCAAGCCCCCTGCACATTATTTTGCTATCCCAGATAGCAGCACTTACGCTATTAGCTGCATTTTCAATTAGGAGAAAGAGCTTTGTAATTTAAGCCCGTTATCATGTGCACATGCCCAGACCTACAGACTTGGAGTTAATTTGTTTCTATAGATTTCCCCCCAGCACAGCTCAGCAGGTTGACTTGGATGCTGCAAACTGAGCGCGCCAAGTGTGAATTTTGATGAACACTTTGAACTGTGTGGTTTCCACTGTCTTCCTGTGGCACATTATTTTTAAAAGAGCCCCATTTCTGCCTTGTATGCCATCCACTCCTATGCTCACAGAGCAGCTGCGGCAGTTGCCATCCACCCACAGATCATCCCCTGTGAAATGAGTTCAGAAAATATTAAGGTGAAAATCCCAACGATCTTAGCCAAAGGCATTTCAAGTGCTTGGGCAGAATATTCAAGTATTAACAAGGTGAGGAGATCCGCTCACAGATAATTAAAGTGGGCTGTGAGAGCGCTGATGAAGTGAGGAGAAAGGACGGTTTGCCACTGCTGTGCATCTAACCAACTGATACAAAAGACTGAGAGACTCCACTAATAAATGAACCATTATAATGTCAACACCGACGAGCAGCAGACTTTTCAAAAGTAATTTATGCCAACAGCAGCCTTAATCATGCATTAATTTGTTATAATTTTCCTGATTTACATCCAGTGTCCCCTTCCTGGTTGTATAAAAAACTAATAGCCTCTTAAGACATATGGAAGTGTTTGCCTGGACAAGTCCTGCAGCTGTGGGTACATTTTATTCAACAAACATTTATTTAGATTTTTAGGAAAATGAGGGCTGTCTTCATAATGTCAGGAATGAGAGCGATGAGTGATCAAAATACGCTTCCTCTACTTGCCAAGATGGCAGCTTGCACTTCATCGTGTGTAAATTCACAGAAGGCAGGCTTCCATCATGTGACGTTTGAAGTTTGACAGATTTCAGTATTTGTCATTCACTTGCCAAGTAAAGGGTAACCACATGAGTGAGAGTGTCTGAGAGGGATGTGTACTTTTTGAATACACCATGCAGCACATACTGGTGTAGCTCAAACACAACTTTAATGACAGCGCTGCAAAACATCCTGCTGTAATGAAAGGTAACACACACTGCATGAAAAATGACTCATCATCTTTGTTTTTAGTTATTCTGTAGAAAAGCTATATCTTTTGCCATTAATTCTCATTTTTCTTGGCTGTCCTCTTTGGTGGAATTGAAAATTACTGTAACTGCAAGACTGGATGGCAATGATCCATGGGTCCACAGAAGTAGTCTACTTAGCTTTTATCATGTCTGATGATTTTGTGAAAAATGGGCTTTGGTCAACTTGATTCAAACTCTACTGCAACAAAATGCAGGGAGAAACCCACTTTAAGCAAAGTTGGCTGAAATGGCTCTTACGCAACATCATTTTTTAGTGTCATGTATCACTTGTCATTTTTTAAGTGATTATACTTACATACTTAATCCCTGCAGCAGTTCCTGTGTATGATTAAGCACATCAGACTGATTAGAGGTGCTTTGTTGCACTGGGGATATGCATATAATTATGGAAATTATTATTTGAGTTTTGTGTGATATATATATTTATATCTATATTTATATGGCAGACAAGCCAAATAAATTGCTCTTGACAGCAACAGGCCCAGTGTTATAATTCATATTTTAACAGTTTAAAGGAACGGTTAATACGTTATTATGCAATAAGACCCGATAAAAATCGATACAATTCAATAGGTACAAAACGATACGATAAGAAATGCAATGTGATAAGAAATAATGCGATTCGGGATTGTCTCCATAATACAATATTTCTTATTTATTATATTATAATATTTCTTGTCTTCTGTTGCTCTATGCAACAACTGTGATCAGTCAACCACATTCCATATGCACTTAAATTGAAGTGCCATTAGTATCAACAATATTGCAAAACTTTAAAACAAGATATTGCGTAAACTCTCTAACACCATGTCTTTGGGGACAATATTGCCTCTACGGTTCAAACTATGACATTACTATTTAAGATGTTAATAGAAGAAGGTACAAATTACTTTAAAATGATTGAGTCTCCACTTGGGTATCCCCAGAGGGCAAAAGCTTGTACTCAGAGTGAAGGACATAGAATGGATATTCCAGTATTCTCTGTGCTCCTGTCAGTGCTTGTACACAGATTGAAGGGGCTTGTGTTCTTCATGGGGGTCTGAACAAGACGGGCAAGCCTGGATATTAACTGTGCTGAGAGGTTACCATGCCAGACGTGTATCCCATACCTGATTAACTGATTCACATCCAAAATACCGTGGTTATAGCATCACACTAAAATAACTAGTGGGGTGTACATGCTTAACAATCATTTGTTTACAATGGGGAGCATCTGTTCTGATTGATTTGGAGTCATGGAGTTTTCATCTTAACATTTTGGATAGGATCTGTCAGAAACCATTTCAAGGTAAATGGGTGGAAATAATCTGTCATCTGTTTAATTTTCTGAATCAGTAGATAAGGCTGCAGGATGTTCAAAGCTAAACTCAAATCAACAAAAAGCATGCATGCATAATTGTTACTGTCTTCTGAATGCATAACAATCAGATGGGCGATGCTGTTAACAGTCTCTTCCAAAAACGCTAATTTTTTATGTTTTATTGCTGCAGCTGTTGTATATACTCCACTTCAAAAAATCAACAAAAAGTGGAATTTGCTCAGGGGTGCCCAAACCTTTTCATACAGCTGAATTTATGCAGAATACACCCCCCTTCAGGCTGTGTTTTCATGCTGTGTTAAAACGTGGCAGTGGGGTTCATTAGCACAAATGCACATATTAAGACCTTGGACCTACCTT